TTTTCTTTTCTAGGCATTTTAGGTAACGTAAGGGATACCAAATATTCACACATGCCATTAACAATCTTTGAGATTTACATTTTCAAAAAAATGGCCAAAGGGCCTCATGAGCTCCCACCGCAAATGGAAGAAGACAGGAAATCAAAACTTATTCAAGGAAGGGATAAGTGTCCATAAGAAATCAGTACTCCCCAAAAGTCACACAAACATTAAACCGAGAGGGAATGGTTTCCTGACAAGGAATGTAACCCATGGCGTCAGGGTGAAAGCACAGAATTTGAACTTAAAGGCCAAAAGGTGGAGTGGCCTTTGTTGTTATTCCCACAGGGGCAGTTTGAGCAGATATAGGAGTTTAACTTTGTTCAGGTCAGATTTTTGGTTATTTTGCCAAGAAGAGTTTTAAGGCTAGCTGTTACACTATTATGTGTCTTTTTACACATTTAACTTTTCTATCAATTGGTTAGAATAAGAAATCTCTAAAATTCTTTTAACAAAATTTAGGTGGCTAATTTAAAGGATCGATCTTTTGGCCATTGACAATTAGAATTCTCAACAGTGTACTAAACTTCAATAGCAACTGGATGCAATAGCCTTCTCAAAGAAGAAGTAATCCCAAAGACTACTCCTGTTCTCCTACATAGGCTAAGATAACAAATGACTCCCAGGATTGCAGTTTGCCAGCACTCACTAGCTAGACCAGTGGTCCCCAACCTTTCTGGCAGTTTCTTGGAAGACAATTTTTCCATGGACTGGCATTATGGGGATGGTATTGGGATGATTCAAGCACATTACATTAATTGTGTACTTTATTTCTATTATTTTCACATTGTAATATATATTGAAATAATTATACGACTAACCATAATGTAGAATCAGTGGAAGCCCTGAGTTTGTTTTCTTGCAACTAGACGATCCCATCTGAGACTAATGGGAGAGGGTGACATGTCATCAGGAATTAGATTTCCATGAGTGTGCAACTGAAGATCCCTTGCATGTGCAGTTCACCATAGAGTTCTCTCTCCTATGACACTCTAATGCTGCTGACCTAACAGGAGGTGGAGCTCAGACGGTAATGCCAGTAATGGGGAGTGGCTCCAAATATAGATGAAGCTTCTGTTGCTCACTGACGCACACCTCCTGCTGTACGGCCCGATTCCTAACAGGCCACGGACCTGTGCCGGTCCCTGGATTATGGGTTGGTGATCCTTGCCCTAGCCAATAAAGTTTGAGATGACAAAAGCCCCTTAAGGATGGGACTTCTAATGACAAACTCTGCCAAGAGCTTGGCATATTCTAAACAAAATAAGATCTCTTCTCTTCCCAGCGAAGAGATTTGTTAGACCAGACGCCTACCGCTGTGACCCAAAAATCACTTGTCATGGATGGTGGAGAGCAAGAGGGAGTGCTTCCTCTTGTTCACAAATAAAGCTCTCAAGAACACAGATCAAGACGAGAGGGAACTTTATCCTATAACCCTCTATGAACAACACAGAAATACAAAGATGAAGGAATACACTGCTTCTGGCAGGAAAGGGATCCGAAAATATGAATATTCACACCACAAAGTAGTATAAGGTGTAACAGAGTTTCTACAGCCAGATTAGACACACAAAAGTCTTTTTTCTGCCAGGCATAATACCTTGTAGAGGAGACAAACAGAGAGATTTGTTTTGTACCATTTGCCTGACTGGGTTGTACAGAGAGAGAAACTGAGAGTCTGATTGGTAAGAAATTCTTACCGTTTTGCCAGCTTGTCAGGTTCCTGCATTCCCTTAACTGGAGGTTCCAGAAGAGTGGAGTGGCTTTGGTGACCCTGCTCGCTATACCAAACTGTGTGAAGGTTTGCTGAGAAATCAACTCATGAAAGGCAGATTAGCAGGAGAAAACACATACAAATTTATTTAACGTATATACATGGCAGCCTTCAGAACAAAAGCAGAAATATGCAGGGGAAATTGTTTGTATGCTTATGTTCAACAAAGTGTGGGTAGCCCTGTAGAAGTATGATGGGACAAAAAGGCTATGATCTAATGCCAATCTGGTAGGGCCTGTCTAGCTAGACTGTGCTTGGTCTCTCTGAACACACATTTCTCCCTCCTGGGTATGGGGCAGGACCCTTTCTGTAATGGGGGTCTTGTGACTTGCAGTCAAACAAGGTAGGGTAGGTCATTTCTTTATGGCCACTTTTACACAAAAAAGGTGGAAGAAAAATTAGAAAATTATTTTTAGGTTTTGTGACTATCTTTAGAAAAAAGGGCTTCTGGTTTCTAGGACCCTCCTTGGGGAAGAGGGATTCTGCTCTGTACAGTTAGCTCCTAGGGCAGAATGGGACTGAGAGACAGGAGGACCCAGAACATCAGAGAAAGCCCTCTACATCTGACACTACTACTGGGCCTTCATTTTGGGGCATTGTGCTCTGAGCCCAAACACTAGAAGTCAACTGCATGTGCAAGTTCAACAGTTACAATTTCTTCTTTCCTCAAGAAACACAATAAAGCCCAAGAACACAATATAGCCCAATTTTTGGCCACGGTAAGACTAGGATCACCTTTCCTTAAGCTTCCAATAACATCTTCCTAGTTTCCATCTGAAAACTCACCACAAGCACCATTAACAGTCATAGTTCTAGCAATATATTGATGACCATGATACATGTATTCTCTAAGTCAGAGATCCTTTCTTTACATCAAATAATTATTTTCTTAACCCTCACTTGAATTGCATTTGGCATCCATATTTCCCCCAGCTGTCTCCTAAAGGCACTCTATGCTTCTTGTGTCATGCACGTCAAAATGCTTCCAGCCTCTATCCATAACCTAGTTCCAAAGCCGCTCACTCTTTCAGGTGTTGGCTATCAGATCACTCCACTGCTTAGCAACAGAATTCCTATTGTTTGCTCTGTTATCCTGACAATATACCACAGATCTTGTGGCTTAAACAGCAGAAATTAATTGTTCACAGTTCTGGAGGCTGGAAGTCCAAATCAAACTGTCAGCTGGGTTGGTTCCTTCTGAGCAGTAAGAGGGAAGGATCTCTTCCAGGGATATTTCCTTGGCTTGTAGATGGCCCACTTTTCCATACGCCACTTCACATTTTCTTCCCTGTCCGCACACCTCTGTGTTTGAATCTCCCCTTTTGATAGGCACAATGCACGCTAGCCATTTTGGGTAGAGCCCACCCTAATGAATGTAATTTCACTTAAGTACCCCAGTAAAGAACCCATCTTCATGTAGAAGAGGGGCAAGAAGTCAGGAGTTCATTAGATGTATTTGGTGGTGTTGGAGGGGAAGGACACATTTGAACCCATAGGACACAGGAATCCTGAGTTGTAGGTGGGAATATCTCTTGCTTCTTCCATTATTTTAAGAGAACACTGGTGACTGATGAAGGGATACAAGGTGACTCCTACCCATCTTTTTTTCAAGACTACTTGAATGTTGAGTAATTTTACACACACACACACACACACACACACACACACACACACATCTGGTTTATTCCATGAAGTTCTCTAGATATAACGAGAGTGAAAAAGCTAATAGACATTGTTAGAGACACAATGTTGATCTGACTAATCCTTATAAAGGAAAATCTAGGAATATAAGAGACAAAAATGACCATATAGTAAAGGTATTAAATAGAAAATTATTAAATGAAAATAATTACTGTCCTTGATGCAACTTGCACTATAGATATATTAGAGTTGACAATGTTTAGTTCTCAGTGAAATAATTCATGAAAAGTTGTCAAGATGCCAAAAACCACCTGCCCCTCCACTTTATTACCTCCCCCAGGAGGTAATAATAACCCATTAACCTCATGGCCTCAGGTCTCAATCACACCCCCTTGTCAACGTTTCCCCTGTTATTTCTCAGATTCTTACGTGAGCTCAGAAACTAGCGTTCGCCTTTATTTTACTTGCAGCCTCTCAACAGGTGCCTGCCACGAGAAAATTAGCCTCTGGGGTACGGCCGACTTTTGTTCACTGGGGGTCGCAGATCCCAGTCCTCAGGGCCTCAAGACTGGGCCACAAAGGAAGAAAACGAAGGATTGGAAGCAGCCTCATCCGAAAACCTGATACTTCCCCTCCACCGCCTCCACTGTCACCAGGCAGGAAATTCCCTCTCCCCTCTTCTAAACAGAAGCCAAAGTGCCTCCTGCCGCCCCCCCTCCCCCCGACCCCCTTACATTTCCTCGGAGAAACAGTCCGCCTACCAGCTCTGTGCAATCAGCCGCACAGAATTCAAGTTCGGATTCGGCTTTGGTGATCTGACAGGGAGAGAGACTAGAAATTGGACAATCTCCCCCCCCTTCCCCATATTCCTTCCCAGGAAGAGATGAGGAGATGAACAACGGGTTCAAGACAGCTTCCGATCATCCCCTCCCGCCCCTTGCCACCTCCCCAAACACCACCCTCCCCACCTCCGACCCCCAACAACACCGCCGCCCACCTCAATCCAGGCAAATCCTAAATCCTACCCAGGTGAACCACAACTCCTTCCTCAGCGCAACCAGGCCATGGGAGTGCTCCATGCCCTGCCTCGCAGTTGCCGAGTCTCCAAACAGGGGCGGCGCTTCCCCGACCCCTCACCGCGCAGGGCAATCGCGCGCTCTTTCTTTACCTGCGCTTCACTGGTGGGCAGCCTGTGCTCCCGCGTCGACAGCTCTGTTTCAACGCCTTCCGGTCCCCGTAGCTCTGCAGGGGAACAGGATCTCTGGCGCCTCCTCGGCCGCTAAACGACCCGGGGCTGCCCGCCCCAGCGAGTCTTTCGCAGGACCGCCCAGCGAGGGGTAGCCGAGTCGAGGCAGCGCGGTTCCCAAGGCAGCCACGGCTGCGCCCAGCCTCCAGTTCGGCCCTCCGGGCAGCCGCGGTTACTTTCAGTCTCTGCCCATTGAAACAAAAGAGCGTGAGAGCGTGACGAGCCGGGCGGCGCGGCCAATCAGTGGGGCGAAGGGAAGGTCTCCTCGCGCAGCCTCCGGCCCGAAGCTACTGCTGGCTAGAGTAGCGAGCTGGGAGCCGGCGGGCGGGGGCTGCTGCAGACAGGCGCGGGAGCCGGCGCAGCGGCAAGTGCAGGTCGGACGCACGGACCGGGCCCATTTCCCTTTCACCGTGAGTTTGCTGCTACCCCGTCGCTTCCCTTCTCCCCATCCCCTTCCACCTTGGCGCTCATCCGGGCTTTGAGACCGGATGCCTTAAACACGAGGTGGGACAGAAACCAAGTGAACAATGAGAGTTCCTCAGCTTTGTATAGGGGGAAGTGGGGAAAGAGCGTTTCCTGTGTGCTTTCTGTGTGCAGATGCGCCTGCAAGGACATCTTCTTCTCAGCAGCTGTGTGAAGGAGGTAGCAATGTGCCCATTTAACAGGAAAGGACTGAAGCACCCAGACAGCACAGTTAGGAAGTGCAGAGCTAAGAGCTCACACCCAAGTCAACATGTCTGACTTCAAAGACTGCCCCTTGCCAACACTCCTCTATTCTGTCAGATTAAGGGTTAGTGGGGAAAAACCAAAGCCAGGATGGGAGGACCAACTTGGGATTGCACAGAATTAGTGAGCAAGGACTGTTATTTCCTTTTCACAGATGAAGAAACTGAGCCAAAGGGAGAGAGGTTACGAGTCTTGCCCTGTATCTTGCCCTGAGTTAAGCATCCAACTTAGCACTCCTCTGTTGCCCTCTAGATGCTAATTCTTTGCCCTGCAGCGCTGCCTGGAGAGCATTTTTGCACAGGTAATCTCAAACCATCTCAATAGCAGTCTCAGTGTGATGATAGTGGTGAGGGAGAAGGTGAGGAGGTAGTGGGGAGAGGGCTGAGGGCAAATGGAGGCAGCCTTTATGGTGCCCATTGTACAGAAGTGGAAGCTCTTCTTGGCACTTTTCTTTCTTTCGTTTTTTGTTAATACTTTTTTTTGTTTTAAACACAACAAGCTGCCCGTTTGATAAAAGCAACATGATTTCTACAGCCCTTTGCAAACCCAAAGGAGGCAAGGCTCAGAGAGGTAAAATGATTTGTCTGAAGTTACAAGGTGAAGCCAAAATTTGGATCTAGTCTCTGAATCCAGAACCCATGCTATTCATCAAAATATGAGTACAAGGTGGGCTGCCTCAGAGTCATTTTGGAGAGCTTGTAATAAATGCAGATTCCCGGGCCTTCCCCCTGGGGGATTTTAATATACTAGGACTAGGGGTGAAGAGTGTGATTTGTAGTTTTAACTAGTTCTGTAGTTGATTCTGAGGTGTAGGGAGATTCGTGAACCACTGTTCTAAACACCACCTGTGATGTTGAAGGTTATAAGTAAATGGGCCTGCTGTTGGTGTATTTGTCCATGGCATGTCTGTCATGACATGTAACTCCAGAGCACAGGCTCCTACCCGAGGTCCTTCCTAGAATTGTATGCAAAGAATCTGGCCTCCGTACATTTTTCTGAGTCCCCAGTTCTGCAGATTTTCAAATGGGTTTGTCATAAGGCCTTCCTTCTTCAAGTCATGCTTGAAGAAGAAGTATGAGAAATAAAATCCCATTTAACCTAACCCCCAAACCACAGCTGTCTGTCACTGATATAGCTCTTTCATTTCCCGGCTCAAGGACAGGTTGCTAGGTTGCCCTTCTGTGAGCTCTTCAGGGGACTTCTCCTTTGCTGGATTTGGCATCACTGGCCCCAGAGAAGGAGCAACTCCATGGAAACGGCATGCAGGGCTGTCCAAAGTGAATGACCATGAAGGCAGTGGCTGGAAAACTGCTCCACTTTTCTCTGGCTTAGAGAGCAGGTATTACTTCCTTTATGTACAGTGTGTCTAGGAGGCTCTTGTGGGGCTTGTTCTTGACTTCTGATGCTTAGAAACAACTAAACAGTCTGATACCCTTTGGCTGCTGTTAGCTTCTTCTTCAGCCTGCCAAGGTACTTCACTTTCTCTTTTCCGCCCTCTTATTTACATCACCAAGATCGAGAGTTCCTTGGAGTAAACAATGCAAATTTGGAGATGAATCACCTTCCGTCTCAGGATCATGGCCTGTGAATGGAACAGTGGGGTAGTAGTGGTGGAGGGTGGAAAGTGTGGATGTATGGAGAAGGCAGGTTGCTCACCTGGCACACTCAGGGGTGATGCTGGCAGTAGCTCTTAGGTTTCCTTCAGACTTTTGCTTCTGCTCCCCTGGCCGGTGACATCTGACTCTCGCCTCCCAGAAGACTCCTGTTCAGTGTTTAAATTGGCTTCATCACCAAATTAGGTATTTGCTGCTGGACTTGGTAGGGGTAGAATCACATAAGACCAAGAATAGATCTCAGAGCTCTGACAAAAGTAATGACAGGAAATGGATTGTGTAAAGGTGTCAGGGCTGGGCTACTGGAACAAAGCGAGGGACTCTGTGCAGGGATGCGGGGAGTATTTGCAGCATGGCTCCAGATGGATACAGGACATCCCATCTCTGGCCTCATGTGTATGAGTGTGATCCAGTTGATGGCTTTAGTGAGACCACATTTTCTAATTTCAATAAATAAACCTTAAAAGCTTGAAGGTTTGAAGATAAAGCTTTCAGATGAAACAATAATAGCTGCCCTTGGCTGCCTGCCTCCTTTGTGCCAGGAACTTTCTGTTACCTCATTTAAGCTTCTCAGCAACCCTGTTGAGACAGACAGTGTATCCCATTTTGCTGAAAGGGAAACTGAATTTCAGGGACATTAAGTAGCTTTTGTAAAGTTTTACAACTTGTAAGTGGAGGCACTGGGACTTCAGGCCAGGGATGTCAAACTCCAAAGCCCATGAAAACTCTTCTTTGCTGTCTTCCAAACAAGCAGTCTAAAATGCATTCTGCAGATGACCCAGCTCATTAGACCAATTACAGCATTTACAACAATTTAGTTCCTATCTTGCCTTTATTCCAATTATCTCATTAAAAAAATCACTAATATAACTTATGGAGCAACTTATATACCAGGTGCTAAGCACTTTCTGTACTTTTTCTCATGTTATCCTTCAGGACAATCATATTGCATATAAGGATACTGAGGATCAGAGAGGTGAAGAAACTTCACCTGAGATTTTTAAGGATTTCCAAGATGACATGGGTTATAATTTTCCCCTATAGATATTTTAATAATGCTCTCCACTTGCATCTCCTTACCGAACCAAATTTATCCTTTATTTGTCTTATCTGGTTGTAGATTTAGCAGTGAGAACTTCTCACTGAACGCCACAGAAATTAAAGACACAGTTGTTGGAGTTATGATGTCAGAGAGCATTTGCCACCAAGGTTGGCAGTAAATGGCTGTTCCAGGAGAGCTGAAGATGAATTTCCACATCTGCAGATCTGGATTTGTTTGGACAGTACTCGACTTGTGGAGTCAAGTAAGTGCGAACACAGGGTCTGCATAATAAAAGGAAAAAGATGCAGATGCATTTATCTCCCAAGTACGTGATTGATTTCCATTTATGTCACTGTGTCCATCCATGTCCCTTTCTTCATTTTAACTTATTTAGAAATAATTTCAAACATATAAAAATGTTGCAAGCATAAATAAAGCTTGAAGAACACCCATGTGCCTTTTACCCAATTTCACCTATTATTAACGTTTCTCCCCATTTGTTTTATTACTCAAGTGTGCCCTCTCTCTATGCATACACATGATATTTTTCCTTGAACTATCTGAGAATTACATACATCAAATTTCAATATTCCTAGATTCAATGTTTGTAGATTAAAATTCTTTTTAAAAAGACCGTTTTATCTCTATGACAATGGCATAGTTACTACAGAATATTATAAAATGAAAACTCACATGGTATATTTGATACTGTGGGGGGTGGGGGGCTAGGGGAGGGATAGCAGGGGGTGGGCAGATTGGGCAGGGATAACCTTAGGAGAAATACCTAATGTACGTGACGGGGGAATGGAGGCAGCAAACCACCATGGCATGTGTATACCTATGTAACAATCCTGCAAGATCTGCACATATACCCCAGAACTTAAAGTAAAATAAAAAACAAAAAAATTCAAAAATCCCAAAATTATAGAAAAAATAAAAACTAAAAAAAATGAAATAAAAAGAGGAAATATATCCTTGCTCTTCAATCCTGTTTCCTGGCATACGACTCCTAAAATCCTTAGAATTTCCAAAGTGGTATCTTTTTGTATGCTGATGATTGATTGATGGCTGGCAGCCCATGGTTGCTTGGTCACCAGACAGACCAAGGCATCATTAGAGGGTTAGGACATAACAGCCTTATTCCTGACCTCGAGGAAGGTGGCTGATTAAGTTGATCACCAGTGGCCAATGATTTAATCAGTCATGCCTATGTAATAAAGCTTCCATAAAAAATGCAAGGGACTGGGTTTGGATACCTTACAGATAGCTGAATATGTAGAGGTTCCTAGAGGGTGGTGCCTCAGGGAGGGCATAGAAGCTCTGAGCCCCTTCCCCAGTACCTTACCTTATGCATCTCTTCATCTGTATCCTTTAGTGTATCTTTATAATAAACTGCTCAATCTTAGGCATTTCCCTGAGTTCTGTGAGCCTTTCTGGCAAATTATTCAAACCCAAAGAGGGGGTCATGTGAACGCAAACTCGAAGCCCATTGGTCAGAAGTTCTGGAGACCTGGATTTACAACTGGTGTCTGAAGGGCCTGGGAACAGTCTTGTGAGACCTAGTCCTCAGCTTGTGGGATATGTCAGTATCTCCAGGTAGATTGTGTCAGAATTGAATTGAAGAATACCCAGCTGGTGTTTGCTGCAGAACTGATTGCTCATTTAGTGTGTGAGAAAACCCCACACATTTGAAAATGGAAATCTTCTGTGTTGATTGTCGTGAGGTGAGAGCAAAGGAAAAAGTTTGTGTATTTTCCCTTCAGAGAGTATTTTAAAGCTAAATTGGTAATAATTGCTTAAATTTACTATATTTGCCTTTATAAAAACTTTACATTATGTTTGTTGAAACTTGGAGCTATGCAATTAATTATAATATAAACATGGAGTTACAACTAAAGCATGTTATAATCTAAATAACTGAGTTTTACAAATTGGTTCATATAAAATCCTAGGCAATATTGCAAAATTATACAGACCTGTCAAATTTTTCCACTTAAATCTTCTGAGAAAAATTTAAGGGTATAGTAGTTTTCAAGTAATTGTAAATGTCAATATTTAGTTTGGTGATGTTAATGTGGCTATATTTTCTTATATTAAAAATAACTTTTAGGAGTTGAGATCAATAAAATAAGGAGGCAATAAATACCTACATCTGTTTAAAGACATAAAATATACAATTATTACTAATTGTTAAAATATACAATTATAAACACTAAAGCTACTTGGTATAAAAAGTCAAAAGAAAAAGAATAAAAAGTCATCATGCAACACAATATATGCATGATATATATTTTTGTCTAAATACAATCAGTTTTTTAAAGCTCAAGTTGAAATAATAAATAATGTTTTATGACAAATCATTATATGGTTTATTTAAACTTAATTATGCTTTTACAATTTATTTTAAAACATTAAATATGTTATAATTTTACTGGGATAACTACATATAGTATAGTATATTAAAGTTATATATAAAATAATGTTGCATATGAAAGAACAATCATAAAAATCAGAAACAATATAAAAAGGTTTTGTAAAAGAATAAGATTAAAATACCGTAGTTCTCTAGTCTGTTCGCTCTCTAATGTCTCTTGCTCTTTCATATCATTTTCCTTTCCTCAAATCTTTTAATACTCCGCCTCATTATTTCCAACTAGTGAACTTGCTTTCTATTTTTTTAAGAAAGATACATTCAGAAGAGAACTGCCTGTTTAAAGAATAAAGCCATCACCCATGTAATAACCAGCCAGGGCAAGAAATGGAACTTTTTAATAAACTACTCCTCTCCCCCCACCACTGATGACATCCCTCCCTCCATCTTAGGGGTAGCCCCCATGCTGACTTTTGTGATAATTATTTCTTTGCTTTTGTTGATAGATTTTCTTCCTTATAAGCATCCCTAAACAACAGTTTTGTTTTACAGATGTTTGAACATTAAATGCTTTTTAAACTTGGAATTGTGACGATCTTGTTTCACTCCGCATTGCTGGTGAGACTCATCGATATTGCAGATAGCTGTAGTTGATCCATTTTTATTGTTACACAGTTTACCATTTTATAAATATACCATAATTTATTCATGATAACTTTGAGGGACATTCTGGTTGTTTGCAGGGTTTTTTGTTGTTTTTTTTTTTTTACAGTTTATTAGTTTTATTGATGAGTAATAATTGTATATGTTTCTGGGGTACATCTGATATTTTGATATATGTGTACAATATGCAATGATCAAATCAGGGTAATTGGGATATCTATCATCTCAAAAATTTGTCATTTCCTTGTGTGGGGAACATTCCAAATCTTCTCTTCTAGCTATTTTGAAATACACAATAAATTGGATACTGTGGTCACTCTGTTGTGCTATTGAACACTAGAACTTATTCCTTCTCTCTAACTGTATTTTTGCATGCATTAACCAATCTCTCTTCATTTACCCCTCTGCAGCACCCTTCCCAGCCTCTGATAAACACAGTTCTACTCTCTGCCTCCATGAGGTCAACTTGTTTATCTCCCTCATGAATGAGGACATGTGATACTTGTCTTTCTATGCCTGGCTTATTTCACTTAATATTTCACTTCACATAATGTCCTCGGAGCTCATCTATGTTGCCACCAATGACAAGATTGTATTCCTTTAAAAAAATACTTTAAGTTCTGGGATACATGTGCAGAACGTGCAGGTTTGTTGCATAGCTATACATGTGCCATGGTGGTTTCCTGCCCTCTTCAACCCATCATCTACATTAGATATTTCTCCTAACACTAACCCTCCCCTTCCCCACCACCCCCAACAGGCCCCAGTGTGTGATGTTCCCCTCCCTGTGCCCATATGTTCTCACTGTTCAACTCCCACTTATGAATGAGAACATGTAGTATTTGGTATTCTGTTTCTGTGAAGAAAGTCACTGGTAGCTTGATGGGAGTAGCACTGAATCTATAAATTACTTTGGGCAGTATGGCCATTTTCAGGATATTGATTCTCCCTATCCATGAGCATGAAATGTTTTTCCATTTGTTTGTGTACTCTCTTATTTCCTTGAGCAATGGTTTGTGTACTCTCTTATTTCTTTGAAAAGGTTTTCCACATCCCTTGTAAGTTGTATTCCTAGGTATTTTATTCTCTTTGAAGCAATTGTGAGTGGGAGTTTGCTCATGATTTGGCCCTCTGTTTGTATATTATTGGTGTATAGGAATGCTTGTGATTTTTGCACGTTGGTTTTGTATCCTGAGACTTTGCTGAAGTTGCTTATCAGCTTAAGGAGTTTCTGGGCTGAGACAATGGGGTTTTCTAAATATACAATTATGTCATCTGAAAACAGTGATAATATAACTTCCCCTCTTCCTATTTCAATACCCTTTATTTCTTTCTCTTGCCTGATTGCCCTGGCCATAACTTCCATGTTGAATAGGAGTGGTGAGAGAGGGTATTCTTGTCTTGTGCCAGTTTGCAAAGGGAATACTTCCAGCTTTTGCCCCTTCAGTATGACATTAGCTGCGGGTTTGTCATAAATAGCTCTTATTGTTTTGAAATATGTTCTATAAATTCCTAGTTTATTGAGTGTTTTTAGCATGAAAGGGTGTTGAATTTTATCAAAGGACTTTTCTGCATCTATTGAGGTAATCATTTTTTTTTTCATTAGTTCTGTTTATGTGATGGATTAAGTTTGTTGATTTGTGTATGTTGAACCAGCCTTGCATCCCAGAGCTGAAGTCGACTTCATCATGGTGCATAAGCTTTTTGATGTGCTGCTGGATTTGGTTTGCCAGTATTTTATTGAGGATTTTCACATCAATGTTCATCAGGGCTACTGGCCTGAAATTTTCTTTTTTTTGCCATGTCTCTGCCAGGATTTGTTATCAGGATGATGCTGGTCTCATAAAATGAGTTAGGGAGGAATCCTTCTTTTTCAATTGTTTAGAATAGTTTCAGAAGGAATGGTACCATCTCCTCTTTGTACCTCTGGTAGAATTTGGCTTTGAATCCATCTGGTCCTGGGCTTTTTGTGGTCAGTAGGCTGTTAATTACTGCCTCAATTTCAGAACTTGTTCTTGGTCTACTCATGAATTCGACTTCTTCCTGGTTTAGTGTTGGGAGGGTGTATGTGTCCAGGAATTAATCTATTTCTTCTAGATTTTCTAGTTTATTTGTGTAGAGGTGTTTATAGTATTCTCCGATGGTAGTTTGTATTTCTGTGGGATGAGTGGTGATATCCCCTTAATCATTTTTTATTGTGTCTATTTGAGTCTTCTCTCTTCTTCCTTATTAGTCTGGCTAGCGGTCTATTTTTTTTAAATTATACTTTAAGT